GTGTGTGTGTGTGTGTATATATATATATATATATATATATATATTGAAAATGATGTTATCTGAATTTTAATTTACTATATATGTGATATAGTATATAGTAGTCAACAAAACCGCCCGATAAAAAAGTGACTCCATAGGCAGCTGTAACAGACAAAAAACCCTTTTAACCACAATCCAACTCATTTTCTTTCATTTCAAAGCTGATTTTGCTTACTTACACAATGCATGCTTACTTGGTCATGTTTGCTTACTTAGTTATATTTTTAATTACTTCATTTGAAATGTTTGTCCCACTTGTGGCAACTTTAAAAACAGATTATCTCATATTTTCCATGACAATTATGTCATCCAAACAATCAGACATGCAGAAGACAGAAAGATTGTTCATGCTGACTGCTTCACCTCTGAACTATCAATCATATTTAAAAGAAGAAAAATCATATTAAAATACACAGTGCGTCTAATTAAATCAGACAAATACGCATAGGCGCATATGCTGTACATTCTGGCATTACAATCAGCTGTGCAGACAGCCTTGATCGCATGAGACTGCCCTCTTTTTATGCAAATTCTGCAGGAGAAATGGGCTTTTAATTGAATTATTACACAATCAATACTCACCCCTCCTCCGGCAGACACTCTCTCCAGAGCCTGAGAGGGGAATAAAAAGAGTTTGTGAAGAGCTCATTATCAGCCAAGTCTGCTGGAAACAAGCTTGAATTGAAAAACTTGTGATAACTAAACACATGATATCATGGTTTGATTTTTGCTTTCAGTTTAATAGCATTATGTGCTCATCTAAAAAATAACACCTAAAAGATTATATATTTAGAGTTCAAATTTGATGCAAGATTCATCAGCTAATAGGCAAAGGATGTGGTTGAAGATGCGTGGGCAATGTGATGTTATTTGTGACGTGTGAGCCAGACTTACGAGACAAGCTGACATCCTGGCATTTCGACCACAGAAACACGCCTGAGCCTTCAGATACTGACTCATAGGGAAACCACACACACCATCGACACACCCTGAGCAACAGCCACAAAACAACACAAAAAACAGAGATGAAATCAAACAGCTTTTAACATAAAAATACTGTTCAAAGAAATTATTCTTTTAGTCAGCAAGGATGCATTCAAATTAATCAAAGATGACAGTAAAGACATTTATAATGTTATAAAAGATGTCTATTCCAAATAAATGCTGTTCTTTTGAACTTTCTATTTATCGAAGAATCAGGTAAAAAGTGTTTTCCAACCATTTTCAACCTTGATTATAATAAGAAATGTTTCTAGAGCAGCAAATCAGGATATTAGAATGATTCCTGAAGGATCATGTGACACTGAAGACTAAAGCCTAAAGCCTTCTGAAAATTCAGCTTTGCATCACAGGAATAAATTATATTTCAAAATATATTAAAATAGAAAACTGTTATTTTAAATCGTAAAATGTTTCACAATATTACTGTATTTATTGCATATTTGAACAAATAAAAGCAGCCTTGGTGAACATAAGAGACTTCTTTCAAAAACATTAAAAATCTTAACAACCCCAAACTTTTTATTGCATTTTAAAACTGAACGCTAAACATTATGTGGATGAGAACCTGTTGAACACATGCCATTCAAACAAGACCCACGCTGTGGTTTGAGGCCTATTCGTGACGCAGATAAACACTGTTTACTCCAGCTATCATGCTAATCTAAACCAGTCCAGCACAGGCCTGAAAAATGTGTGAGATACAGGGACAGTGTGCAAAACAATATCAGCAATTTCATTATAAAAACTTCAACACTGTCTTGAGGAGACCAGTTGCTGTGGGGTGTTAAACTGAAGGCTCTTCATTTTGCGTATGATAATAAAACACTTAAAAGTGAAGTGTGTATTTTTTTTTATGAAAATATAAATTAAATGCACTATAAATAAGCGACTGCTTAACCAAATGATGTTTGTGGGTGGGACTTCCTGTTTTCTGTTTAAGTAGGAGACATTGCGTGGGCTCTTCTGAATTGAGTCAGCAAATGCACGGCCTGAGAGGAGATATTGTGTAAAAAGTATTACGCTGTCAAAATGAAAAGATCATAGCAGTAAATTCTGCTCAGGCAACTGAAATTCTATGCAAAATCTTCATAAATCTGTGGGATGCTGCTAGTGACACAAAAAGACACACTTCACCTTTAAGTGCACAGCATGCTGTAAGCTTACAGGGTTTTGAGACTAAAAGACACAATGTTCATTTCCATTGGAACTGCATTTGTTTGATTACATTTTGTTTCTTCTTCAGAACAAACGTGTTTGTAAAGCGAGCCGCTGAAGCCCTGAAAACTCTTGACATCATCATGCTGAAACGCCACGTTGTACTGACTCTTCTTGAGTTAGTGAGATCTAACAGACAGTCTGTTGAAGGGGAGAGTGTTTGTGATGTCAGTCCAACGTCTGCACACACTTCATGCCTTTTAACTCTGTCCCTGCAGCAATCGAGAGCCTGTGATGTGATCACCAGGCTTTAAAACAATGAGATATTATTGTAGCCCTGCTGTGCTTCATAGCACAGTAATTATGTGATCAAAATATTAGATTCTGAAGGCACTCCAATCCTTTATGTGCGGTCTCCTTTATGAGAAAGTGTCTAAGAGAGAGACAGACAGAAACCACATTCTCTCTTAAAACTAACACCAAGTCTTAAAGGAAAAGTCCACCTATAAATAAAAATTCTGTCATCATTTACTTATTCATTTATTTATTTATGCGTAACACAGACAAAGATATTTTGAAAAACAAGAGTGCTTTTTGTCCAAACAATGAAAGTCAGTGGGGACTAATGGAGTTGTTTTGGAGCCTAGTAAACTTTAAATAATAATAATAATTATTATTATAATTTTACAATTAATTAAAATTATATTTATAATTGCAAATTAGTATATTTTTCTAATAACAAAATTATTATTAACTAATGAATTAAGTAATTTTATTTAATAAACAACAATTTATCAATTATTATTCATTATAAAATAATATATTATTCATTATAAAATAATAAATATAATAATAATAATTTTGATTAATTATTTTATAATGAATAACACACTTATTATCAATGTTGTAGTTGTTATTATTATAACTTATACAAGTTTTAATTCATTATTGAATAATAATTAATATCATAATTGTTAGAATGGTATATACAGTATTTGTAAATGATAATCTTTATAGATAATAATAATAATAATTATTATTATTATATAATTTACTTATTTAATAAATAAATAAACAACAACAAAAAACATTCAGCATAAAATAATGCATTTTATATATAAAAAAACAACAACAATAATAATAATCATAAAAAAATGTTGTAACTATTATTTTAATAGTTACTAGTTTTAAGTGGGGAAGTCGTGCTCTCTCCCACCTTCAATACCACGACTGAGGTGCCCTTGAGCAAGGCACTGAACCCCCAACTGCTCCCTGGGCGCCGCAGCAAAAATGGCTGCCCACTGCTCCGGGTGTGTGTTCACGGTGTGTGTGTTCACTGCTGTGTGTGTGCACTTTGGATGGGTTAAATGCAGAGCACTGATTCCAAGTATGGGTCACCATACTTGGCCACGTCACATCACTTTCACTTTTACTTTTTTTACACCCAGTATTGGTACAGAGCTACACATTGCTGGAAAGAACATTATACAGAGAAATGCAATTACACACAGCTTGTCTTGTCTTGACTTGGGCACCCAGTCTGATAGAGACTGATCTGTCCATGTGTGTGTGTGTGTGTGTGTGTGTGTGTGTGTGTGTGTGTACGACAGGAAGTGTTCTTACCCTGTCTGTCCTGATCAAACTCTTCAGAGAGCAGGTGGTAGCAGCAGCCCACACTGCAAACGGCGCGCATCTCCTGTTTGGCCCTGAACATCCGCAGAGTGCTGGGGGCCAAATCTCCACATGTATGCAGGCCAACCAGAACTGCATCCTGGGCACCAGCCAGAGAAAAGAGAGGGAGAAAAAAAAAAAAAAGGTAATTTAGTGAAATCAACACAGGCTGTTTGCCATCTCTCATTGATCATAAATAATTTGCTATGGACACATCCAAGTCCCTCTCCATTCTTGAGCTCAAATTCACCTAATTAACATGATTAGGATAATCGCAGGCGTCTCGCTGAGCTGTAACAGCAATGGTACAACTTCAGCTCCATAATCAAAGCCCACAGCTGGACAACTATTGCAGCATAGAGTTTCTCTTGTGCTATTATATGAGTTTAGTATACATTAATTATTTGATCCTGAGAGAATGAAATGAATTCACAACACAAAAAACGTAATGCTACAAATAAAATGGAAGAATACCGTTTGAGCACATAATTAGTATTTTAAGCATGGTATTATATGATGATATGATTGTAATATATATCTTGTGTGGAACTGATAGCACACAACACTTCCTCTGGACTCACACACATGAACATGCTCCAAACATCACGCGTGTAAAAGTCCACAGTGTGCGCATTTGAGATACTTAACGATATGGAGAGAAAGCGCTTAGCTTCATCTATTTTTCTTTTTAAAGTGTCTTACTGTTGTTTTACATGTACACAATTTTTCCTGCCCTGGTTATTTGATTTTTGAATGAATAATAAATAATTATTTTTATTATTATTATATTTAACAACACTTATTTAAACATTATTTGTTTTCCATGTATTACTAATTATTTTATAGTGAATAAATAATAATTCTTATTTTTAATTAAATAATAATAATAATAATAATAATAGGTTTATTATTATTATTATTATTATTATTATTATTATACTTGTCTCCCTTGGTCAGAACCCCCTGTATTATGACATCTCTTCACCTCCAGCTCTGTGATCAGCGTCTTGAGCTCAGTTTTTGCAGTGATATATGAGGTCAGAGGGGAAAACAGGCTGCCGTCGCTGTCGTTCCCCCTCCCTTCTCGAGTTTTCCTCTCCAGATTCTCTCTCTTCCTCTTCTCCCTGTCCTCCAGACTCAGCTGGCTGGGGTGGACGCGGGGAGAGACGTCCTCTATGACGTCCAAAGACAGCATACTGAGGAAGCTGCTTCCTGAATCTGAATCATTTGGGTCTAATGAACATACTGCGGCATTATCTGAAGTGGATAAATCATTGGTGACTTGTCTTGATAAAGCACTGGTTTCCGCTTGAGCCCCAAAATGTTCCTTTTCCTTAGTAATAAAGTTTCTGCTGTGTTGTTTACTCCCATCCTCACTGTCCAAAGGTTGTTTCTTTGTGGCTCTGTCCGGTTTCTGATAGGCTTTGGAAAACTTCTTCAGTTTCCTGTTCCTCTCATGAGCTCCATGCGTGTTGGTGCTGGAGGAGTCGATCCCGAACACTTGCAGGTTGAACCGCATGGACAGATAGGAGCACAGATAGCCTTTCCCTGAACCCACGTCTATCACCTGAGATGAAGAAACAGATGATGAAAAAGATGAAATTCAGTTTGTTTTTAACTAAAGTACATTTGAAACATTTTTACCTGTTTGACTCGACAGCATTTGGCCAAACTAGCCACAGCCTCAGACATTGCCTGCACCTCATGGGCCTTCTTACAGTTCATAAACTCATCCGGCCCAAGAACTTCGTCTGATGACACTCCTATGGGAATTACAGACAGTGCATGAAATATGTGTATCTAATCACCTGAATGTGACATGCATAATAATCACAATAAAGATCCAGTGGAATGTAAATATGTTTTTCGGTGCTTCTGATCTGACTGCAATTACCTTCTATAATGTCTCTCGTCATCAGTTTCAGATTCTGCATCAGATCTTCCAGCTGCATACAGACCCCCAGCCCCGGTAAACAGTGGGCTTTCGCTGCCCACAGCAGGGCTGATATGTCCACCAACTTCTTTGAGGCATTGCAGAAACCAAAGGTGGTGTTTTCCTTCTCTAAATGCAAATATATATGTATGTATGTATCCTTTTA